TTGTTTTCATAAGTTTTGACTAAACTGTTTGATTCGTATTTTGTTAGCCCTAATAAACAAAATTTTTCGTCTCTTCAACTTTCCATGCAAAAAATACATAAGAAAGATCAGATTATTAATCGATTATAATGGCACTATCATAACCTAGTTTTAATCAGATTTTTCCACAAAAAGCAAACTTTTGAGATTTTAACTTTTTCTTAATCGATTTTAACTGATTTTTTGTTTCTATAATCAATTATAATCGGTAAGAAAAATCAAAATCCGAAAAATCGATTAAGAGAAGTTAAAATCTCAAAAGTTTGATTTTTTATGTGGAAAAATCTGATTCAAACCAAGTTATAACAGTGTCATTATAATCGATTAATAATCCGATCTTTCTTATGTATTTTTTTATGTGGATTCATTTAGTTCGTCGAGAAGACTATTTAATATTGTGCCGAAAGAATATACGAAATCTCTGCATAAAAGAAACTACGTTGCCACCGTACTTTTATAAAGTAATTTAAGAAAACTTTCTTGTATGCAAAAAAGTATACGTCTTCGAATTGATATCTATTAAAAAAACTTCACGAAAGATTAGCTTAAAAATCGATTATTTGATTAACAATTGATTTGATTATGATAGTACGATTTAATCCATTTTCATTAATTCTTAGAATTACATTGATAAAAACTGGTTATTATTATAAATCGATTTTAATCGATCAGATTTGAGAATCGACTAAAATCAATTAAGAACAGATAAAATCAAATAAAATCTATTGTAGGGATGGAGAAATCAGATTAAAATCGAACCATTATAGTAGATAAAAATTAATTTTTAAATAAATAGTCGACTTTATTCAAACCTTCATCATTTTTTTTTCATATAGATAGAGATAAACTGAATTGTCTTTGAACTATTATAAAAATTCAAATATTCACATTTATCATTATTTTTGCTTGTATTATTTGCAGCTCTCAAAATAATAGAACTTCAGCAGGAAGACCAACTACGATAAAGGACATTGCTTCCTTACTTATTCTCTTTAAACGTCGCCATCGATTATCTGTGCAATGTATCTCAGATCTTTTAAGATTGTTACCAATTTTTGGAGTGAAGAATGCACCTCGATCATGGTACTGTTTAAAACGTTTAGTTGTACCAACTGAACTATCACATTCATACCTATTTCCATGCCCACATTGTTCATCAGCATCCACAAATTCATCTTACTGTTCAGATTGTGGTTATCGTTTCTCAACAGATATGTATTTGAATACCTTTGTAGCTTTTTCCATAAAAGATCAATTGGAAATGATATTGAACAACAATATCACCATTAACTTTTTTCCATCATCTGCAGGTACTACCATTAGCGATATTAGCGATGGTAATGTTTATGACAGGTTAAGATTGGCATGTCCTGATCGATTTATAACACTCACAATGAATGTTGATGGCGTGCAAATTAAAAAAGGATCAAATAAATCAATTTGGCCTGTGTTATTAGCAATAAACAATCTTCCACTGAATCGACGTTATGCTATTGAGAATACAATTATTGCTGGTATTTGGTCAGGTGTACATAAGCCTTCCAGAGCACAAATGGCAGCCTTTCTCTCGCCCATTGTTGAAGAATTATCTCATTTAGAAAAAGGATTCAACTTTGTCGATTATAGAAAATTTTCCATTGAACAGAATACCGTGATAAAAGTATTTCTGATTGGTGCATGCTGCGACAAGCCTGCTCAAGCCCTCCTTCAAAATATATCCGAGCCAACAGCAGCATTTGGCTGTGGACGTTGTGAATTTATAGGTGAAGTAGAAGCGCTCTTTGACATAAATCATAATCGATTATTAAGATTTCATACAGCGAAATGTACTTCAATAGATGTATATGAAAAGAATTGATTAGAATCAGAGCTGTCAGACATTTCAATTGATTCTTACGGCGAAAATCGACCTTAACAATTTTTTCTGCAAAAAATTGATCCAAGTATAATTTGTTTGATCTAAATATTGTTTCTTATAAATTTTTTCTCTGAGAAAAATAGACCAAAATTAATACTTGTTAG